CGCTCGAGGCATACAACTTTGCGGTTGTCCGTATCGACTTTATAGTCGTAGGCTTCGCAGCCTTGCCGAGATTTCGCTCGAGGCATACAACTTTGCATTTGTTTGTATCGACTTTATAGTCGTAGGCTTTTTAGCCTTGCCTCGAGATTTCGCTCGAGGCATACAACTTCGCAGTTGTTCGTATCGACTTTATAGTCGTAGGCTTCGTAGCTTTGCCGAGATTTCGCTCGAGGCATACAACTTTGTAGTTGTTTGAGTCGACTTTGTAGTCGTATCTCCAACCTGTTGTAGTTCTTTGAGAAAGTTTAAGTATGTGGATAACCGTGGTAAAATGTAAAAAGACAATTAAATCATCAATCATGACATTTATTTCATTACTGAATTTGATTCGAACGTTTTTCAGTACAAAAAGAGGCTTTTAGACTCAGCCTTAGGCGTAAAAGCGTTTAAGATGGATCACATGCCAAGATCGGGGCAGTTGAAGACCTTCCCCGTCCTCTAGCTCGTATGCCCCTCTCTCGAGAACTTTTGTGACTGTGTAAGGCCCTTCCTAGTTGGCTTCTAGCTTCCCGACATGTTTGACGGCATCTGCACGCTTGAGGACGAGGTCTCCTACTTGGAATCGCCTGGCTCGGACTTTCTTGTCGAATGCTGCGCGCATCTTTTGCTTGTATTCAACCGATCGCAACCAGGCCTCTTCTCGTCCTTGTTCAATCAAATCGAGGGCTTCTTTGGCCATTTCCTCGTTCTTTTCCTGTTCAAAAAATGTCGACCTGTGCGAACTTAGTGCAATTTCTACTGGCAGGAGGGCATCCATTCCATACACCATACTGAATGGTGATTGGCTTGTCGAGCATCTTGGCGTAGTCCGGTATGCCCATAAAACAGTGGTTAGCTCGTCGATCCAGGCTCCCGATGCCTTCTCTAATCGCTTCTTTAGCCCCTGCAAGATAGTTCTATTTGTAACCTCGACTTGCCCGTTAGCTTGGGGGGTGAGCAACCGAAGCGAACCTCTGCTTGATCCCCATATCAAGGCACCATGCCTGGATTCGCTTGCCCTGAAACTGAGTTCCATTATCTGAAATTAATATCTTCGGGATTCCGAATCGACAACAGATATTGTTAAACAGGAACTGGATCATTTTCTCCTCGGTAATTTTTGCCAGCGGTTCTGCTTCGACCCATTTGCTGAAGTAGTCGACCGCGACTACTAGGAATTTTCTTTGTCCGGTCCCCATTGGCAAAGGCCCCACCAAGTCGATTCCCCATTGAGAAAAGGGGATCGGGCAGCTGATTGTCGTCATGGTTTCAGCGGGAATATGAGGGATCGGGCCATGGCACTGGCATCTTTCGCATCCTTGTACTAACTGCTCGGCCATTCTCCTGATTTTCGGCCAATAATAGCCGGCTCGCAGCACTTTTCCAGCTAAAGCCCGAGACCCGACGTGAGCCCCGCAGCATCCTTCATGAACTTCCCAAAAGACATAATTTCCCTCGTCTTCAGAAATGCATCTTAAATGGGGTCCGACATATGACCTCTTGTATAACACTCCTTCAATTTCGAAATACTTAGTTAGGTATCGAGCGGCTTTTTCGGCTTCCTGCTTGTCCCCGGTAGGTATTTTTCTTTGCAAAAGCTCTCGAATCGACCTCCTCCAATCTTCTTTTTCTTCGACTTCCATAGCTTCACCCAGGACACTTCTTTCCAGATTCATGGTGGTAATGTGGCTTCCCATCTTCCCCTCATTTGAGCTGGCTATCTTAGCGAGCCAGTCGGCTCGTTTGTTCTCCTCTCGAGGGATTTGGATCAGCTCGAACTTCTCCAAGCCTTGCACCAGGCTTTGAACTTCCTTGACATACTTCTGCATTCTATCTTCTTTTACTTCACAGTTTCTCATTACGTGGCCCACAACAAGCTGTGAGTCGGAGTGGGCCATGATTTCTGTTGCTCCGCCCCCTATTGCGAGTTGAATTCCTTTGATCAGTGCCTCATATTCTGCTTTGTTGTTTGAGGCCTTGAAGCCCATTCTTACGGCGAAATCGAGTTGTTTGCCCTCGGGGGATACTAGGACAACGCCTAGACCTGACCCCTTGGCTGCTGAAGATCCATCGACATACATTATCCACCTCTTTTCCTCTCCTTTAGTTCCCTCCTGTATGAAATCTGCTAGGGCTTGAGATTTTATGGCACGTCTTGGCTCGTATCTGATGGAGTACTCACTTAGCTCGACTGCCCATTTCACGAGTCGACCTGAGACGGTAGGCCGACCCAGCGTCTCACCAAGTTGGAAGTTCGTCCTTACCACTATCACATGGTTCAGAAAATAGGGCCTCAGTTTTCTAGCCGTTATCACCAATGTCAGAGCGGCTTTTTCGACTTCGGAATACCTCGCTTCTGCTCTCTGAAGTACTCGACTTGTATAATAAATCGGTTGTTGGGTTCCTCCTGCCTCTCGCAATAAAACGGAACTTAAAGAAAACTTTCCCACTGAAATGTAAAGCACCAGTTCGTCACCTGGTTCTGGTTTTGTTAATAGCGGCAATTCGCTCAGAAATTCTTTCAATTTTTCGAATGCTACTTGCGCCTCATCACTCCATTGGAAAGCTTTCTTTTTAAGCAACTTGAAAAATGGAAAACTTTTCTCCGCTGCTCGAGCAATGAACCTGCTTAGGCCGACAATTCGACCTGTCAACACTTGTACTTCTCTGATATTCCTAGGTGCGGCCATGTCGAGTATAGCCTTCACCTTATCCTTGTTCACTTCGATTCCCCTCTCAGTTACGACATACCCCAAGAAGCGTCCCGCCTTTACTCCGAAAGCGCACTTACTTGGGTTTAGTTTCATCCCAAATGTTCTTAGTGTCTTAAATGTTTCCCTTAAATCCTCCACATGCGAGATCGAGGACCTACTCTTCACCAAGATATCGTCCACGTAAACCTCCATATTTCGCCCTATCTGCGATTTAAACATTCGATCCATTAACCTCTGGTACGTTGCCCCTGCGTTTTTAAGCCCAAAAGGCATGACGAAATAACAATATGTCCCCTTGCTCGTCACGAAACTAACTTTACTTTGATCCTCAGGGGCCAACGGGATTTGATGATATCCCTGGGACGCGTCCATCATACTTAGCAATTGACAGCCAGCTGTGGAGTCGAACAGCTGGTCGATTCTTGGCAGGGGGTAATGATCTTTTGGGCAAGCTAAATTTAAATCGCGAAAGTCAATGCACATACGCCACTTATTCAACGCTTTTCTCACCATCACTGTGTTTGATATCCATTCAGGGAATTGAATTTCTTTGATATGTTTGGCTTTCAGTAACTTATCCACCTCGACCTCAATTGCTCTATCGATCTCTGCCCCATGATGCCTAAGCCGCTGCTTCACGGGCTTTTTTAGGGGGTCGACATTAAGTTTATGTTCCATGACTTCGGGATCGATTCCCGTTAACTCTTCAGGAGAAAAGGCAAATATGTCTCTGAATTCTCTCAACAGTCCCACCAACTGTCGACGCAACTCCTCTTCCAACTCTCTCCCAACTTTAGTGGTCTGCTCCTCTCTTTCCCCGATTTGAATTTCCATCAATTCTTTGTGCGGCTCGAGGTCGCCTTCCCTTTGTCTTTTTTCATTCGACATCGGCTTCTTCCCTTCCTTTACTTCCACTCGTTGGTTTGTTTTTACTGCTATCTGGTAACATGTTCTTGACAGCCTCTGGTCTCCTCGGGCCTCCCCTACTTTATCTCCTACGGGGAACTTCAGCTTCATGTGGTAGGTTGACACTACTGCTTGGAATGTGTTGAGTGCTGGCCTTCCTAGAATCACATTATAGGCCGACTCGACGTCGACCACAACAATTCGCACCATCTTTACTTTCTTCAAGTCGCCTTCCCCGAGGACGACATGGAGCGTGGTTTCTCCTAGGGGTGCAACTTCTGAGCCATTAAATCAAAAAAAGTGAGGTGTGCAGGGGCGTAAGCTCGATGTCGAGTTCCATCCGTTTAAGGCAATTGTAATTGATCACATTCACCGAGCTTCCCGTGTCGACGAAGATCCTCTGTACTTCATAGCCTGATATTTGAGCAGTGATCATTAGAGCATCATTATGAGGTCTTTCGACCTCTCCCATATCTGCTGGCCCAAAATTCATCACCGGACCGTTTTCCTCAACCTACTGCACTTCGATTTTTCTGTGGCGGCCTCGAGCATACGCCTTTCTGGCTCGATTTGAATCTCCATCAGTCGGCCCTCCAAATATCATATGAATTATTCCTCTTTTCTGCGGGAGCTCCTCTTTGTCGGGTGTCTCTCTCTTTTGGGAGGGCTTTTGCTTCTCTCCCTTCGCCGACTGGTTCGCCCTCGATCCTTATAAACGAACTCCTTCAGATGGCCCGTTTTGATTAGTCTCTCGATCTCATTTTTTAGGTGCCGACACTCATCAGTATTATGCCCGTAATCCTTGTGGAATCGACAATACAAATCACTTTTAGGTTTTGTCGGTCCATCCTTTCTAGTCCATGGCCACCTGACAACACTTTCACAGATCTCTTTCTCCATTACCTCCAATATCCTTGCATTCGAGGCCAACAGGGGGGTATATTAAGTTGTCCTCCATCCCCTTGATCGTCCCTCCCTCTCTGACTTCGAGGATCCTTTCCTTTCAGCCGCCGTGATTGGTTTTTTATCCTTCTTCTCGTCCCGAGACTCAATTTTTGCTTTAGCTGCTTGCAAAAAATCGGCTTCGGCTTCCTCGACATTCATGTATTTGGCGCACCTTCCTAAAACCTCATCGAACGTCCTCCCGGGTCGTTTTGCTAAGGAGTTTCTGCATAATCCTGGCAGTAGTCCTCTAGTGAGTCCTCCCGACTTGATTTCCTCTGTGGCCAAGGGGACGTCGACGCACGCCCGTGTGTATCTTGCCACATAATCCCTCAATGATTCTCCTTCTTTCTGTTGCATGCCTATCAGAGTAAGGTAAGACTTTTCTTAGGCCTTTACACTCGCGAATTGGTTTAAAAAACTTGAGCTAAATCCGTCAGAGTCTCTGACGGCTCTTGTGGGCAATTGATGAAACCAGTCCTGCGCTGGGTCTCGTAGAGTCGTCAGGAACGCTCGACATTGAACGGGATCATTGTAGCGGTGCAGTACTGCCATGTTTCCAAAACTCCTTAGATGTCGAGAGGGATCAGTCGACCCATCATACCAGATGTTGAGCTCCCTGAACCCTTGAGGCAAGTCGGCGTCTAGAATATGCTGTGAAAAAGGGTGTCTCCTCGAACTTCCTGTTTTCCTCCCTTCCACTCGAGCCTGCAAGTCTCGCACCTGAGCTAGCAACTGCTCCAGGGTGTCGTTTCTTGCTTGTGGATTAACGGTCCTGACAGAGGACTCCTCCTCATCTGCCCTCCTGTTCTGCCTTTCGTGCGACTGCGCTTGCTGTTCGCGTTCAGGGGGTTTTTGTTCATTTTGAGGCTGCTCGACCCTAGCTTGCTCAATCCTGGGTTGTTCGACCCTAGGTATCTCGACTTGTGTCTGTTTGATTTGGGCCGCTACAGCTTCGGCAATCATCCCTTGCATCTCGCTTCTCGTGATGGTCAGTGTTTGCTCCTCGACTTGAGGTGGTGGCCTTGTCTCCTGATCAAGTCGCCCAGGCTGCCTCCCCAATCTCAAAGATGTTTCGATCGATGCGTACGTGTCCTTCACGTGACTTGCCTCCCCTTGGGTGAGAACCGGGATCTTGACTCCGGGTGGGGTAATAGGCGTATCTTCCCCTATACGCCCTCCTGACGGCGCGTGTGCCCCAAACGGTGGAAAACCAAACACTTGGAGCGGTGGTCTGAGGCTGGGAATCGGCGGAGGTCGCTTGTCCGTCCACGTTGCCCTGAAATCTTCATTCAAGTTTTTCTTCAATCCTTCCTTCTCAGCCATCGGAGACAGATCAAAGCTAGGTGTAAAGCTCTTAATTCCTTCAAGAACTTCCCACAGACGGCGCCAAAATGATGGGTCTCCTCTCAGATCCGGAGTGAACCAATGAGAAACCGTCCAGATCTGGAATAAACCGATGGGAATGAGCTCAGATCTGACTCGATAGCCTCCAAACCGTTGCTGAACCGCGAGAACACCTGCAAGAACTCAACGCCGGAGGGGTTTCCGGCGTAGAGCCTCCGACGCTCAAGTCAGTATGTGAAAGAGATGAAGAAAGCTGCTCTGAGAGAGCAGCGGCAGTAATGGAGAAGAATGTAGAATGAATGGGAGTTAGGGTTTTTGGAGATACCTCAGCTCATTTATATAGAAGTAAAACATTTACCTGGAGTCCCCAAAATACCCTGGCCGACTTACTGGAAATGTCCAAAATGCCCTGGTCGGTTCGCATTCCGCCCATCTCCTATTCAGCATTTAGATTCCTTCTTATCCTTAATAGCTTCCCTCTGATATGTTGAAGTATATCAGAGTCGTCGGGAATCCATGAACCCCGAGGCTGCCCCAGTCGATTCTAGATAGCCACTCGAGTCGACTAGGTCATCCGTAATCGCTGGTAGACCCTAATACGCTTATTCATCCTCCTGGACAGAACCGACTTAGGCTAGTCGACATGGTAGAAGTCGACTAAGAAAAACATCTGGGCCCTTGACCGAATATGTTATGAATAAATCTGTGGGTGGGGTCGACTTCGGGTAAGTCGACTCGGCAATGTCTGAATCGGGATAGCATAAACCGTTATACGATGTATGGCTATATCATGCCCTAAGATGACAATATTTGACCAAAGGATGTTCATTTATTTACAAATATGCCACTGCGTGATTGACTATTTTTAATCAATTTTGACTTCATCATGCCCATTGACGGTGAATCTAATGGTTAAGATTTATTCTTATTTCTTTCCTGGAGCACCATTCTCATATGATCCCAACTCTTTCTCTCTCTCTCTCTCTCTCTCTCTCTCTCTCTCTCTCTCTATATATATATATATATATATAGAGAGAGAGAGAGAGAGAGAGAGAGAGAAGGAATCATATGAGAATGATTCCTAGTGAAAGAATTAAGAATGAACCTGGACCATTGGATACACAACACCAATGGTCATGATCAAGTCAACCTTTAATAAACAATGGTCAATTATTAATGGCAATATAGTAAATAAGTATATATGAGAGGGTAAAAAATATAGATTTACCACTAATTAAGGGTATTTTAGATATTTGCATCAAACACCATTAACATGTGGGACCCAACCACCTAACACATTAAACTACACGACCCATCCACCTACCCCACTCCCATCTTCTTCACCCACACACACACTTCTCCACACACACACACTTCTCCACACACGCAGAAACAGACCCTCATCTTCTCAGCGGCGGAGCTCCGCCGCCGTGCTCCTGCAGGCCGCCGTCGCACCTCCGCAGCCAATCGCCGGAGATGGATTCGACAGGCATGCTCCGTTGGAAAACAGGTCGTCTACATTGTAGGTCAGCCGTCCGTCGCAACTGCTACCATACCCGCCGCCGACGGCGGAGTTCGATCGAACCCCCAACCATTAATTCTGCCACCGTCGCCAACAATCCCGGCCACCACAGAGAATAGCCGTTGAAGATGGTGAAGATGTCGGGAATCAACCAGACCAATTGTGGTCGTCGTCGCGGCGAGAACGACCGCTAATGTTGTCTGCTGTTGTCCTCATCGACCGACGTCGTTTTGGGAAGGGATGGCGGCGATGGCGGGCGGAGCAGAATGGCCTTCCTTTTTTTTTGGTTTGTTGCTTGGGCTGAGGAGGGCGTCGGTATCCATTGGTCGGCGGCGGCAGCGTTTGGTGACGACGACGGTGGCGGCGACGGTGCTGCTGAAGATGAGAATTGTGCTTTATTTATTATTATTTTTTTAGGTTGGGTATGTGTTGTGAGAATTTGACATTTTTAGAGGACTATTTTGCAATTTATACATATCTATTTTTATTTATGTATTGCACTTTATAATTACATTAAGATTATTTTTTGCACATTAATGACACATTAGATGAACAATATTGTGTGTAGGTGTGCACTTCGAAAAATAATGTCATACACTTTAAAAAATTGTAAGGTGTTTTGTAAGGTGAAAAGTATTGTTTTGTAAGGTGCAACATATTATTTTGTAAGGTGCAAAGTATTCTTTTATAAGGTGCAACTTGTTAGTATCGAAATAGAACTATGGTTTTGATTTCTAATGTGCAATTTGATAATCGTGATAAAGTGCAACATATTATTTTGTAAAGTGCAATGAACTGTTTTATAAAGTGCGACTTGTTGGTGTATAAATCGAATTACGGTTTCGATTTTTAATGTGCAATCTGATAATCGTGATAAAGTGCAACATATTATTTTGTAAGGTGCAGTGTATTGTTTTATAAAGTGGAAATTAGTTGTCTTTAAATCGAACTAATGTAATTTTGGTACATTAACATATTTGTTTTTTGTGTAGATAAATCATGTGATTGATATCAAAATAGTATGCAGATATGTTTTTAAAGCAACAATAGATAATCGGCCAAAATATAAAACTAGAACAAATGAATTTAGTGTAGACGGTTTTTAGTTGCTAAAGTGTGCTATGACGGTAACTATTGTGAAATATATTAGAAATATATTTGTATAATAAAAATATATTATTTTTTTTATACTAATTATATTATTTAATAATTATTGTTACATTATTTTTCTAAATAATACAATTGAAATACATATTATTTGTATTATATAAATATATTATTTTTTAATATTTTTATTTATATTTATGTAAAAGAAATATATACAAAATATTATTTTTTGTTAACTCTTAAATACTACATATTTGGCACTTGGTCTAAATTGTAATATGACCAAAATTATTAAAATTGCTAATTAGTCCCTTAATCTAATTTCCAAATTCATGACTCGAATCTTTCCGGTGGGAGCCTTAGTCACGGTCAGCCCCTGACGCCGGCGATTGACATCCGACGACGAGCTCATCCACCGTCTTCTCTGGCCGCACAAACTGCC